TGGCGCCAGTCTCCTCGTTCTCCTGCCTGGCCTCCTTCTTCTCCTCCTCCTTCTCCTCCCTGGTCTCCTCCTTCTTCTCCTCCCTGACTTCCTCCTGCCTGACCTCCTCCTGCCTGACCTCCTCCTCCTCCAGCCTCAGGTCCTGCTCCCATCAGACCTGGTCCTCCTCCTGTCAGATCTCCCCCTCCTATCACACTTCCTCCTTTTCTTCCTGCCTTTCTTTTTCTTCTCTCTGCCCTCCTCTTTCTCCTGCTGCCTGTTCTCCGCCTCCCCCACAGCCTGATCTGTGCCTCCTCGTGCCCGGCCTCCTGCTCCTCCTCCTCCTGCCTGACCTCCTCCCTCTCCTCTGGTCAGACCTGCTCCTGTTCCTGCCTGACCTCTTCCTCCTCTTGCCTGGCCTGTTTCTCCTTCTCTTGCCTGCCCTCCTCCTGCTCCTCCTGCATGGCCTCTTCCTTCCCCTCTCTCCTGTCCAACCTGCTGCTCCTGGTCCTTCTCCACACCTTCCAGAGTAGCCACGAGAGGCAGAGTGGTGGTCAGTTGTTTCCTCAGCTCCCCTGGGGCCTTTCCAACCAGACAGCTCTGGAGTGTCCCTATTCTCTCCCCTTTCTCTGGTTCTTAACGCCTACTTCTCTGATTCACTGCCATGCTGATTTTCTTCACCTTTGCCTGCCTGAGTTAGAACCACCACCCTCTTTATATTTTACAACCATAAGTCAACACCCACCCTCCTGAAAGAATCAGGAGGCTGATTTCAAAATCATGACACTAAAAATAATGCGTTCACATTTTCCGACTTTCTGCAATCTGACAGGCTAAGGACATACATCTTGATTGTGACAGCTCATGTTTGGTTTTAATTTGAGAATAGTTGAAATTTTCACAGAATTACAAAATTCCATGATACAGAGTTGAAAAAAATAACGATCAACCCACCCTGTAACTTAACCTCAAGATGAATGCTAGGCATAAGGCAGCTGCAGTCTTGCAGGATCTTCTTGTTCCCTCTCTCCCTCCTTTTGCCCTCTGAGGTTTCTATATTTGGTTGTCCCACTTTTCCTCTCTCAGTCCCTCTCTGCTGAGGCTGGGAGCTTGATTCCTCACGGAGAGAACGGTGGAAGGTGTGAAGAGGTCCTTCCACAGCCAGGGGTGACTGTCCCCTCTTGCCTCTCTCTTGTGCCCAAACCGTGGAGCCAGAGCAGGGGCTGGAGCTGCTGTGTCCAGGCTGATCCCTGCCTGGAGGTGCTGTGCCCAGGGCTGATCTCTTGCTGGCTGCTCCCACATATGCGTGACAGAAAGAAGTGCACAAAGAAAACTTCTCCCGGCCTCTCCGCAGGGTGTTGGCAGCAGCTCCCTGTCCTCAGGGCTGGGTTTAAAATCTGTGCAGACCCGAGCAACGGGGGACAGTTGTAAAAGCTGGGAAAAAAGGTTTTCTGGAGCACGGCCCAACGTAAAAAGCATTTTCGAGGCATTACAGTACATATGTTTTCCTGCCCAGGCACAGATACACGCACGCCCATCCCTCACATCTGACTCTCATTTTAGGCTGTACTGCTTTATCTGAGGCTCAGAGGCTGAACTTGGGAAAAACGCCTAGACGCAGCGCCAAAGAAGCTTTATTGGCAGCTCTCTGAAAGAATCCTTTTGTTTTCCTTCTCCTTCAGAGCCATTTCCTACCCTCTGTGGCCATCCTGTGGCAGCTTGCAGCTCCTAGGACATCTGAGCGGCTCAGTAAGACCCAAAGCGTCTCATGTTTTGCAGCGTTTAAACACATTCACGTTCACCCTGCCAAAGCTAAAGGCTACGTGCAGGCTGCCTTAAGGCTCCTCTGCAATCCCACACTTTGAACCTTGACACGAAGGGACGTTGCAAACCAGAGTGCCGTGCAGGGTTCAAGTGGAGCAGTGGGCAAGGTAGCCAGTGTGAAGAGGTTACACATGATCTTAGAAACCCTATGGTAGGAGCATAAAAAAACCCTGTAGCGCCTTCTTCCAGAGTAACATACGACTTCCCTGAGGACGTGTGAGGCACTCAGTGTTTATCCCCAGGACGCCGTGTCCCGCTGTGGGAGCAGGAGTTGCTCTGCACGCGTGGGATGGTGCTCAGGAGAGCGGCCTCAGCGCGGGCTGCACCACCTGCTGGACACCAGACACCTGATGCTGCTCCTCTCCGCGAAACGCAGCCAGAAACCCGGAGAATCGCCCCGAGGAAAACCTGCACAGCGGTGTTTTGTGGAGATTTTGCAATCAGAGGAGAGCCACGCGGGACAGAGGTGCCCTGCAAAGTGGATTCTACCTTCTGGCACCTGAATTCACTTCTCTTGACTTGGTCCAGCTAAGACACGATGCTGTAAGTGTTAGTGCAATAGTCAAGATTTCTAATTTGGGTTTTAAATTACACCACCTCGTGGACTGACATATTTGAGTTAAAAATGATATCACAATTGGATTAGGAGTTTTTCCTCCAAACGACAGCGGAATCAGGAACAAACCTGTCGTGATCTGTTTGGTGGATAAGTCTTACAATTTTGTGTGCCGTATAGCAGACTTCGGCCCTCTTATTCCTGCATTGAATCCATAATTTCTTTCTGAACTATCACTTCTCCTAAAAAAAAGAATAAATCCAGTCTTTACCAAGATTCAATAAGCCAAAAGCTTCAAATGAGAACTATAGAGCCTGTATTTAAGTGCTTACAGGTGTATGCCTACTAGAGCAGAACCTCACTAATCTGAAACTCACCACCAAAAACAACCGAATTAGCTGAGCACTTACCTGAAGCTGCTATTGCTGCTGCTACTGCCATCATCCTTACTGGAAAAAATGTTTGCGTTTAGTACATATCTCTTGAATTAGTGTTTTTTTTTCTTTTTTCATTTTTTCCTTTGGAAAATACAAATTTGCAATGAAAAAACTCAATTGAATAGTTGGGAAGTACTTATTTTCACAGCAAAACACCATCACACTGCTGTAATATGAATTTTCACTGATTTGTGGAATGATCTGGTCCTAAATTTTTGAATTGTGTGGTTCCCCTGAAAATGACAAGTGTAAAATGTATGACTGTTTTCTTCATTCTTTTTCTTGCAGGTACAAAAATTATAAACAAGCTTTGTAGCTTTGCGAGCAGAATTTTCAGTGTTTTTTTAATTGAAACATTAAACAAAATTAGTTTGCTATTTAAATGACTAAAATATTTTTCTTTAATTCAAACAAATTGCTTTTTTTCTTATAAGAACAATGTTACGCTTAGATAAACTGGCTCAAAATGTCATTTAGAAAGTAAGAGTAAACATGTTTTTAGAAGTCAGATAATTTTGATTGACTCAAAACTAACTTTTCAGTAGATGAGCTGCCTTTTCAGTACATGAGTAATAATCTTCTCTCTCATCATAAATATCTGGACTTTCAGAAGTGTAAGAATTCAGCTGTTCTTTTATTTCAATAGTAATAGGAAATACTCTTTTTTTTGCAAAACATTGCAAATACAATCTCTCAATGCTGATCTAAGCAACCGATTACATCTTAAATTTAAACATATTGGTCATAATTCCACTAGTATGGAATTACGGGCTGAATAAATCCACATGTATCAATATGGTCCACGCTCCTGGAGGCGCAGCATTTCTTGCTATACCTCCCAGCTTCGCGATGCTGTTGGCGTCCCAGCGTGGATGTTTCAAAACATCAGTAAAATCCTGAGCAATGCCGGAATAACTGGCATTAATGAGAAACATAGTGCTAAAAGATCAGCCAGAGTCTTTTCAACGGCAGATGGCAGCTCTGCCTTGTCTCTTGCGCTTGCATGCAACGAAGCCATCGGACTCCTCTTGTAAGCAGGGGACAATCGTCCCCTCTAAGCACCCCACAGAAAAGGGGTTGGTCCATATAAGAGCTGTCAGATTTGACTCAGACAAGACAGGTAGAGATTTTGTC